GTCCTAAAGCACAACCTGCCTTCAGGGGTTCATCGTGGGTAAGCAAAACTCCAGCGTTTAAAACCTTCTTGGTCTCTCTCTGCTTTAGGTGGGCTTCTTGAACTTACCGTCTTGCTTCAGAGCCTGTCTTGTCTCCCGTCTTCCCCCTGCCCAAGCCCCAGGGGGGGCGCTCCAAATCCAGGAAGATGCGCCCTTCTTGGTCCAGGCTATGGAGAGAGCTCCAGCGCCCCGTGCACACCGAGTTCAGCAAGCTCTTTGGGAAGCACTCGAACTGGTCACCTCAGCAGCTCGCCACTCCACCCCAACGAGTCGGACGGCAAAAGCGCGGGCCCTGAGGCCCTGAGGCCCTGAGGATCGCGTTTGAGGGTCCTTTTAAGCCTGAAACGGCGAGTGATGTGGCTGAGAATGTCCCCAAATGTGGAAGAATGTAGCAAAATCTTACCAACATGTTTGAAGGGTTTGTCTGTCTATGTGTGTGAGTGTGTGTGTGTGTGGGCGTGTGTGTTCCAATGTCACAGCGCAGCCTGTAGAGGACAGCCATTGAGACTCACACCCAATTCAAACATGGTTGACCAGTTGCACCTCTTGCTACGGAGGTCATATCTCTCTCCAGGTGGTACTCTTCCAGTGTGATCCCTCAAAAATGCTCCCCTCAGTTCACCTTCTCTAGACTCTAGACAAGGGCCATTGGTTGACACCAACCAAAATGACTCACTCTCGACCCACTCTTCAGCCAACAGTCGGTCAACTGTCGTCCACAGCTGCGTGCTCACGTCGTCCAACGCCGTTCGGACGATGCCATGTCACGGCTCAAGACGAAGCCGGTATCGCCGCCCACGTTGATCGAGGCCGCCCCGGTGGCAGTGAGCTTGGCCGCATCCGTCTTTGGGAGGGCCTTGACCGGGCCAAGGGTCTAAAAGGGACCGCCATGCATGGAAGAGCTAGCATCACCTTGTAGGGTTGTAGGGTTGAGTACTCTTGTTGAGAGTACCACTGTGGCTGCCGTGGCTGTCACCAAACTGGGAGCATCGAACCCACGTTTGATGGACCCCAGACGTGAGCAAGAACTAGGTCTTGTAGACCCCCCAGACGAGGTCGGTCTTGTCTGTCCTTGTCTGTCGCTCGTTCCTTTTGGAACGCAACCGGATGGGTCTTCAGAAGAAAACCGGAGACGGTCCGAACCCGAGAAGTCATGGAACGGTCCGCAACTCTGAAATACAGATGCTGTTGGACAAAGTCCGGTCCGGCCATCAGATCGTATGAAATCTTTCTAAGTTTAAAGATCTTCACTAAGAAAAAAGGGATCTTCGAAGCTTCATCAAATCCTCCCTAACATCATGTTATTTCGTCCATCTGATCCGATGAATCCTAGAATCTTCACTGACAGTTAACACATCTGATCCATTTAAACCCAAACCTTTTGAGTTGGAGGATAGAGAATGAATTGATGCCCCCAATGCTGGGAGTGTGAATCACCACGCCCAAGCAAATCAGGAATGGCAAAAACTCTCTTGTAGTCCTTGTAATCGATACCCCCGCATTCCCAAGACTACATTCAAAAATGGTCTATTGAGGCAACCCGAAAAAAGAGAATTCCTCTTACTTCCATCGATCAAAAACGAGTCCAGGGTCACCCGGGCAAGCCTGCCAAAAGCGAACCGGATCTCCCGAAAGGACCTCCCCCCGCTCGTTTCGTCCCTCGGACGACCCTGGAGCGACACGAGGCGGTTCACGGTGGATGTGGGGGCTCTTGCCATGCATCCGTTGCTGAGAAAACCTAACCAAAAACACGGTTGTATACACGGTGTTTTCTCACCGAACACAGCCATAGGGTGGCTCTGCGGGGTTGATTGCAGATTGAGTTCACGAACAAAACGACTCTGCAGAGCAGATCAGAACTTACCAATCCTCGGATCCAGACTAGACTCTTACTCTTAATTCACAAAAACCCTCGGATCCAGGATGGCTTTCAGTTTTACCTCTGCATTCTATTTATCAACCGCTTATATTAGGTCGATCCTCGATCACAGCTGAGAAGACCTGCCTGCTGTTGGAGCTCCTTCACTGTGGCCTTCCACACCAGTGAGCGCGGTGACGGGTGTGTCCCCTGTGGATTCACTCGGACGACTGGACATGCAGTAGGCACACACAGTCATGGTCCGTTGGGCAACCTGTAGTGGTGGATGTTTGGGAGAGTGGCGCAGATCAATGGAACCAAAGACAGCATGGTGTTTTTGTCAAATCTCTCCTTAGGTCCCATCAGAGTGAACAGAACAACTGAGAGCTTTGGTGAACTGTCCACTGTTGATGTCTATGGTTTGCCTATCACACGCCGATGATCCACTTGCCATGCCACTTACATCGTCTCTTTTTCGTGCTTTGATGCCTGAATCGGAGAAGTGGCCACTGCAGCCAGACGTCTGCCTCATGTGGCCAGCCATTGTAGAATACTCAGTGGCCACTGCGGCCCGTGTCAAGTGTTTGGAAAACAGCACCAGGCACCAGGCACCATCACCTGAAAAACACACTCTCCTGTGTAGGGAACCATCTTGACCTTGGCGAATTGTCTCTTTTTCTCTTTGACCTGGGTTGGTGAATCCTGACCTTGGCGAATTCTCTGAGGCGAAGTATCTAACCAATAACCTGATTGCTGAAGCCTCGGGGGTTCAAGTTCTCTAACAAACACCTGCAAGTACCACATTGTCGGTGGCGCAGGAACTCCCTAGAATTGATTTTCACACTCTGAGACCTCCAACCAACGAACGGATGAGGTACCCTGGATCTGCTGAACCGAACGCCGCCAGCCATCCACAGGGCATCTCCAAGGCCTCCAACTGCTCCACTTCAACTCTTAGGTCGTCCAGGTGCTTCCGAATCGCCTCCGCCCAAGGACCAGGTGCTGTACGACTTCCAATCGCTATGTGTCAACTGTTATTGTGTGTGGATTGAGAGTAGATGGCACAATCCCCCAGTTTGTGGTTTATATGGACCCACATCTAAAAGACGTCTTGGGGTGCCAGTGCCATCTACTCTGAAATCACAGTGCTGTCGAGGTAGATGGTCAGTAGCTTGCTCCTGCGCTTCCATCCGATGGGATGTTCCTCCTTTGTGTCATCCATGAAAAAGCTCTCCGTTTGGGGCTTCAGACCCTGTGATCAGTCCAGTGCGCCCAACCAACCAACCAACCACACAAACATCACACGCCCCTCGTCTTGGCTCAGTAAGCTTTCTTTGGTCTCTCTTTTCGCCCACAGGAGGCTTCAGACCCGGAAACCAGGGTGGATCCGAGAACTACACATTCAAACGTGTAAAGGTTACAGTACCAGCACCACCCAACGGGTGGTCTATGGTTTCCCCCCAAGCACCCATGAGGGGGCAACCCAAAAGTCCTGCAAATCATCCTCCGAAAAGGACGTCACTAGGCACTTCAAGTGTTGTCATCGGCTTTGGCGATTAGGGACGTTCACTAGGTCGATGAATTTACGTTCAACAATGATCAAGTTCTGAGCAATTCCATGCAAATAACCGTGCAAACCCTAAATACGCCTAATATCCTAAACCGATAATGCCTACAGCCTATAGCTGATTCCTTAGGGGGCCGACCCATGCGTCCTGGCACTTTACAAAGTACAATAAGAATAACAATAACAACAATAATCAGTATTAGAATATATAATAGACAAATAGACATTTAAAAATACACATATATATATATATATATGTATGAAAATATACTATATAATACTAATACAACATCACGACCTGAACCGGAAACATCATCTGGGACCTTTCGAAGAAATGTCATGACCCGGGAGAGACGCGCCTGAGCAGATTCATCGTAGGCACTTCTTCGAGCATCCATGATGCTGGAAGGGACGAAGTGTTTGTTGCGTGTGGATTGAACCAATCTGACCTCTGTTTTGATTGGATATGGAATGTTCTATCATAGTTGGGAGAGTTCATCTCAAAAAAGAAAGAAAATAACGTCCCTCAGAGTCTCGGTGGATACTTGGGTTGGTGGGCGAAGAAGGTGATGAAGACACTTATGAATGTGGTGGGCGCTTGTGGTTGGGTTGGGGCACTCATGGCTTGTGGTGCTGCCCATTTCTGTGGATTTCTGCGGACTACTCGTCCAATGTGACCCAACGCGCTGTGGTGTTTGGCTTCGCGCCAGTCTCTGGCTCAAAGAAGCTACCCTGCTGACGTCCTTCCAACATCTTGACATCACTAGCATGGGTTGATAATTGCGCAGTCCTTTTTTGAACCATGAACCAGGCAAGTTGAGAATCTGGTGACCCATGAGGCTTTAGGGAGCTGTTGGATGTTGGGGGTTTGTTTGAGGTGACCCCCAGACCATCGCTGGGCATAGCTGGTAGCAGGAAATACCATTGCCATTGATGGTCACCACCCTGCACCTCCTCAGAAGCAATGAATCATCCTCTCTTGCTGGCAGCACTTACAGACTTCTGAAGTGGAGCAGGTTATCAGTAAGATATCGGCCTAGAACGGAAATCCCCCACCAACCGCTTGAAGAACGAGTTCCTTACACCAAAGGTTTGGGTGAGCATCGTTTTGAGACAAAAGAACTTCGAGTGGGGACACATGGATCTTGCACGTCCTTCAAACAAGCCTTTCTTCTACAACTCGTGAGTCGCAACAAACTCGCAAGCTGTTGACATGTGAGCCAAATCAGCATTCCTGATGACTTCAACTGCTTGAACGGGCTCCAACCTTGCTGGAGCATCCCCCCACTCTCTCGCAAGTCCTAGATACATGACTGCTTTGGGGTGTGACAGGCTTTTAATTCCCCGTTCCTTGATGACTAGAATGTCTTGCAGCAGTGCTTTTCAGGGTCTAGGTGCGGAGTCTTTGAAAAAAGGGCCGTGCAAGGCATTTTCTTAGCAGTTGAAGCCGTGATTTCACCTGGAGAGGCGTCTTCATGACCCAGCAAAACTACCAGGTCTCCCACGCAGTGGAAAGGGCGTCTATGGGGGGCGCACCGCTGTCGTCCGAGCGGGCAGAGCCTGAAGAGTCCGACGCCCGTGGCACGGTTCAGGTCGCGACCTGAACACCTGGAGGCTACCTGGGGTGTGACTGAGCAAGTCAGGTATAGTATAGCGTGGTGGATGTAAGAAAGAAGCTTGAAGACAACGTCACGCTTTTAGTCTTGCATTGCCTCATTCCTCTTGATTACATCTCAGTAGGCATCATTTCTGTGGGTTCCCTGGAGGATACCTAGATTCAAGACAAACGAATGGCTGAGAGATCAAAAGGAGCAGGGCTTGCGCCGATGGACAGGACGGGACAGCACAGGATGTGTCTATTTCAATACAGAAGGGGGACAACCAACCAATGGGTCTCTGGCCTTTGCTGTTTCATGCAGTCGGCGACATGCAGTGACCACCCCCAGCTTAGCGTGAGGCAGGCGCAAGAACAGACACCCCGAGTTAGGGCTTCCAACTTGCTTTCATGTTCAGGGTAGACTTCCGACCCACATGAAAGAACTTCCATAAATTCTCAGCAACTTTGTCATGGTTGACTAGCTGCACCTTCCACAAAGATAAAAGGTGGGGTTATGAAAGCCCAACTTCTTCAGGCCACCCCTTTGACACACTAAGGGTCCAAGGTCGACCATTGTACCCAACCATTGAAAGAACTGCACGGAGACCCTCAGTTGGGAACTGAGGTCTGTCCTAACACGGTCAGCGCGAATAGACTCATCACGCATCACGAAAGCAGACCGACGAAGTCGGGTCTTCTTCAATGTCCGATCATACAGTGGAGTCATATATCCAGTGGACATGGCGAAGGAAATGTAAATCTCCAAGACTCTGGTCTCCCCCTCCTCATCCAACCATTTCACGTTTCGGCATCAACAAACACAGCCGAGTGAATCTTTCACCAAAAGGGAAATCAGGAAATTCCCCAACATCTGTAACGCGAAAAGGGCAAAAATTCACCAACCATGGGTCTTGGTCCCTTCTTCCAGGAGGTCGAACTGAGAGGTCTCCCTTATTTAATACACATCTATATAGATATAGATGCGTTGAAATCAGGTGGATCTGAAGCCAGGGTGTGCAGATGCATCGGAAGCATCCCCAATTCATCAACCCAAAACCAGTCTCTTGAAACCTCAGCCCATTTGGGGATGGGTCCAAACCTGGCCAGTCCACCATCTGACCTCCCTGGTTGAGCATTCTGTTCTTTCACGGGCCAAGTGTCCTGGTGCTTTGAGGTTTGGAGCCCCCCCCCCCGTGTCCCTGCGCCGCCTTGATCCATGGGCTGCAACTGCGAGGTTTGAGGTGAGATGGAGCCTGGAGCTAGGCTCCAAAGACACCGTTTGCAATGCTCCCTCAACTTAAGCTAGGCTCTTGATGAGTATAAGTTATATGTCAACCCGTTTTTTGGAAGAGGTTTTACCCTCCCAATGGGGTGTTTGTTTCATCAAGAGTCTACGGACGTTTTGGGAGTTTCTCACTCCCCGTGTGTTTGTTCCCGATAATGCTTCGCTCTGCCCCCCTACTGCTTAATTGCGTAGGCGTCTACTAGTTACTAGGGAGTAAGCTACTAGTATGGACCCAGGACTAGCTCACGCTTGCACGAATGATTTGGTTCCATGTTTAGGACAACTGGTCTACACCTCTCCTTCAACCCTAGTCCCATCGCCCTAGTGAACCCTGCGGCGACCTCCCCCGAGACCTCGTCACGTTTCTTCTCGAAAAATCCCAACCGGTCTCCCCAGTGGCCGAAGAAGTCTTCGGCTTTAGAAGGATTGGACGTGCGTTTTGCCCAAAAAAAAAAATATATATATATATATCAAGGACTCAAAGGCTTGAAAACGTCTCAACATGTGGGCACCAACGTGCAATTTCTGAGGCAGTAGGCGATACCGTAGGCAACACCAAAGGGACTGTCTAGACCTGAAATATGAAAGTATCACCAAAACCGCCAAAACGTATAAAGGACCACTCACCCTGGCATTACACATAAAACATCATAAAACCCATCACCCCACTTTTACATCCCCCTAGCATGTTCCATCCCCACCAGAAGCTCCCCCCACAACCCTGGTGTGGGTTCTTCCCCCTGAGTCTCCAGGCTGAGGCTCATGAGGTGTGCTTGGTTCAGCATGTCGACGCCCTGCAGGTCACAGGGTGCTCAATTTGAGCTGAAGGAGCTGCAGTCTGATCACAACATCGAGTCATCTTGGGAACAATGAACCATGACAACCATGAGATGAATGCCCAACATGCCAAAGCTTGAAATGGGTTCAGGGCGATCGGAGATCACAGCATTTGGGGGCGTGTGTGTGTGTGTGTGCCCTTTGAGCTTCTTGCGAGACACCAAGGTTCTAGATGCAAGAACCGGGGAGGATCATCATCTTAGTTATGATTTGTCAAAATGAACTGCGGTGAAATCCGCATTTTCTGGTGAATACACGGCTTGAAAAGAGTGCCACCACGGCGAACGAGACCCCAAAACCACCCAACTTTGGAGACCATGTGGTGGAATCTGGGGTGCTCAAGATGGTGCCAATACCAAAATCAGCCCATCGTCGATCCAAAGTCTTCCGGTCCAATACCACAGCCCGCCGCTAAGGGGTGTCCATTAAGAGCCCTTGGAGCTTTTAATGGGCGGCCCTGATAGACGCAAAAACGTACTCCGTCCTCATAGCCCGGCTCCCTTCGATTGGCATGGAAAACCTGCCTCGAGCGAAGAATGAAGGCGGGGCATATGGTGGAGACCGACGGGGGAGGTGGACTGGAAGAGGGTGAAACTGGAAGTGGTCAGTTCACGAACCCCAAAAATCCCTGCGGCCATCTGGTGAGTTTCATCCACGAAAACCTGGTGGCGCAGAATGGAACTGCTGAGTAGGCCCGAAGGCACGCATCGATAGAATGAAGATTTTCCAAACGAAACGGTGAGCTTCCACTTGTTCATGTCGCTTTGGAGTGTAATCTCGCACACCTTAGAAGAACATCATCAAACTGTGAAGAAATTGTCCAACAAGTTGAGGATGAAATCCTAAGAATCTCATCATCTCAACTGATGCGGCAGTTCTATCTGAAAAGGGCTCATCATCGCGTGCCTCATTTCATGTGTGTGTGTGTGTGTGTCAATCAACAATTCTGAACATCACTGCTAACATCCATCCAACAGTCCCCATGCAAAGCCCAGCTCGGGTGTGAGGTCCTTTTCTTCGCGAGCGAACAGAAGGGTCTGAGCAAAGTCTGCCACACAAGTGGGAAATTGCGAGACGCGGCATCCGTGCGTCCGAAGCACTGCCTAAACGGAAGAGCATCGAAACGAACTCCAGTATCGTTATTTTACTTCTCCCGGTATTTTGTGGGGTCTCAATCATTCCACTTCTCCGCCTTCCTCCCCACATCTGTTCATCTGGTCCAATCTCCCCATCTTCGCAGTCGGCCGGACGGAGGTGCCTCACATCTGTACAGAGCAGGTTCGGCGGTGCGGTGGAAATGGCACACTCTCATGGCACCAAGCCCTGTCTGACCATTTCTTGGAGATCCAGAAACAGAAATCTGGAAAGTGTGTCGTTTTTCTTCAGTGAGGGACATGGGTTTATGATGTTGTTCATCACTCCCTGAACAGCATAATGGTTCGCCCGACGAACCCTTAATATTTGCAATTCTCAGCATCCATACAAGACCCATCTCATGTTAGTGGGGCACAGCATTGAGAAAGTTGTTCGGTTTAGCCCATTCTTCTGTGATCAGCGGAACCCACCAGAGAACTGCATCCTGCACCGGCATCATGTCAGGCGGACTCAGAGATAGATGCTTCCGTCGTGGTCAGTCACGATCTTGGCGTCACGAATGTGTGGCAGGAAAGTCACCTCTCTCCCTGTGAGTGTATGGAAAACACCATAAAGGCCAAAATGGAAACAAGTGAACTAAAACACTGAGTTCCATGTTTCCACTAAACATCCATTTAAGACAAACTCTGAGTTCCATGTGTTTGTTCCATTTAAGTCGTAAATGCTCTATGGGGTTCTAGTTCACTGGTTCGATCATGGGGTTCACATGTTCACCCTCGACTCGCACCGTGGCGTCTGCTGGTTGGGCAAAGACAACTGACGTGTGGGAGCCGGAACCATATCTATCACCCAGCTGAAACTCTTGCACCAGGCTCCAGGCTCAAGTGGATGCACTTCCCTTCTAGAATCGCATTTTTTATGTGTTGAAAAACTTGTGGAATGTTTCAACATAGACCGGACAGTGTGGAAGCACAGGAATCTTCACCATAGACCAAGTTCCCTATCCCCTGTGTAATGTCCCTCACAAAAATCATGTGTGTGTGTAACATGTTTGCAAGGAACAAATAGTTGTAGTTCGGCTCTCTCCTTCATTAGAACTCCCACCTCAGCCCTTCTGCCTTGACCACTCACCAAAACAATGGCTGTCAAGTTCCAAATGTTTCTTGCAAACAAGGATGGCAACTGACCCTCCAAAACAGGAGTAAATAGAGGTGGATTAACTTGAAAACGTTATATACTCGAAACTATCAATCTGACATCTCATCCACCACGTAAATGATTGATGGAAAACTGAAATGTTACAGTATGTACCTGTGCAAACCAAATGCCCACAGTAAATATGCTGGTGAAAACTCAGACTTGCGGTATACCTGTTGTTTCCAAGGGGCAGCGGCAGCTTCCACGTGACGAAACCAATTGCATGTGACCAAGTAGGCATCTGCATCCCAGTCACGACGAGACAAGTGGGAGACAAGTGGAGACAACTGGAACAAGTGTAAAATAATCGGCCAAGAGTATCCAAGCAAGGAGACAAGGACCTAAGGAGACAAGTGTAAAAACATCTGGCCAAGTGTATCCAGAGCAGGCAAAGAAAACATCGGCCGAGGAACGCAAGCCCGGAGACAGAGCCAAAATCATCCAGGCCAGGCATGGAACCCTTTATATAAACAGAGTAAGACCCCGGAGACAGAGTAGACCTGTTTGGTGAAAAACACCGCGTGCTCTCGCACCTCACCGGTTCCCCTGGGGCGAAGGTCTCTCGTTCACTGTGACTTCCTCCGTGCGGCAGTGGTAAAACTTTCCGCTCCGGTCTCGGCCTGGAGAGCAAAAGGGAGCGGTGTCGGAGCGCGTACCTTGGACCATCCCGCACCTGGTGTGGCTGGAGTTTTGGCAATTGGCAAATCTTTGGAGCACCAGCCACAAGCATCTACAGGGGTGCAGTTTCGTCATTGAGCCGGGGAATGATCGCTCAAATCCCAAAGTTGCTGCATTCGAAGCATTGATGGTCCTGTCGAGATTGGTAAACGCGCTCCTTCCCAAGAAAAGCTTACAAGTTACCCCATCAAACTTGCGGTCTGTCCGCCTGCACCTGTGGCTGTACATTCAGTGACTTCACCCACCCCCGAAAAATGAGGTCTAGATAGCTTCAACACAAAGCCGTGGGCTCATGTCCAATTGATCCACCTTGTGGTGTGCATTGGACCTGCTTGGAACCGCGGACGTATTGATTGCTCCCCCTGAACAAGTCCACTGCTTGATCTCTAGCCCGTGCAGTAGGAGAGGCCATTCAGCAAAACTAGGGCTGCCAAACCTTGACTCTTCTTTGTGATAACCAAGCCTCTATGGGAGGACATATGTTCACAAAGAAAAACGCACAATGGTGATTCTTGCTCGTTCTTTTTGTTCTTCTTATTCTTTTTCTTATTCTGAGTCTTCTTCTTCTTTTTCTTCTTCTTCTTCTATCAACAAATCCTTTCTGCTCCTTCAAGACCTCCCAACCACCAATCACCAAACCACCCCCGCTCCATCTGCCCCAACCACTCCCCCCAACCCCTGAAACTTCCTGCGGAACCCACCTTCGTCGATGAGGTCGTCAGGATCGGAGACGTCCACCTCGGCGATCTCCGGGATGCGCTGCATGAGGTACTTCCTCGCCGACCGACCGGTCGAGGAGACCGGTCGAGACTCTCCGCTGCAAAACGACGCACCACACTGTCACCGAGTGGAAGCATGGAAGCATGGAGGCCTGCAGAAGTCCCGCAAAAAACACAAGAACACCCGTTTTGGTGTGAAAAAAACCGTCTCTGGGTCCAGGAACTGGATCTGTTTCTTTCTCCGAGGAACCGAGGTGCGATTTCGCTCAGAAGCTCCACTCACTTCGGACACTCGGAAAGCCAAGCCTTGCGAATGGTTGATTGATCCCCCGTGACGGTTCCATATGAGGGGCTCCCTCTGTCATAGAGGAAATGGACAGGGGGATGTTGATTGATTGATTGATGTTATCTTCCTTTTTCGGCATCGATGTGGGTCTGATCTTGCGAGCACGGCAGCACTTCCAGCCCCTTTTTGGAAAACCCCTGTTCTGGAGCTTTTTGGGCCACCTATGAAAAAGAGCCGTGGGGAATTATGCCACCCACAACCTCGTCGTGGTGGGCAACTCGGAGTTGAAGCAGGGGACCCTCAGCTAAGGACGTCTCAAATGAGCGCGCAAGATAAAACCAGCAGCGAAAGCACTGTTGAAAGCAAAATGCAAGGCTTACACTCTGGCATAAACAGAAATACTGGATTATGTGTGTGTGTGTGAGATCTTTCCTCCAACATGCACGGCTCCCAGGTTTACCGGAAGCTCCCCTCCCTTACCAGTACCAACCTCACTCGGACCTGGAGGCCCTCAAAACCCACCGAAACTCAGCTAAGAGACTTCAAGCGCCGTAAGACGTCCTGGCGTTTAACAAGGGTTACAAGAAGTCTCGGAAGTTGGTTGC